CTGTGGGTCGCGACCACGTTGGGGGTCGAATGACGATTTGCTGGGGGTCGCCTGGGAGTCTCCCACTATTATATAGCGGCTCTCGACCTTCCGGGAGAGAAACACTTTCTCCTGGAAAGGTTTACTCTGTTCAACCGAGCAGAGTAAACCTTTCCCTGCGATTTTTTTTTTTTTACATCGGGACCCACCGTCAGTCAGAAAAAAAAAACACCATAGGAATGCATAGCTAGATTCCTATTGGCTATTTCACATTGCAATAGCCATTAGCAAACTAGCTATTGCACCCGCCCAATGCTGCTGCCAATCAGCAGAGGGGGTCCTGAAGTTCTCCATCAGGTCCTCTTCTAGTGATTGGCAGCAGCCGTGGGGGTGTAATAGCTAGTTTACTATTGGCTATTGCAATGTGAAATAGCCAATAGGAATCTAGCTATGCATTCCTACGGTGGTTTTTTTTTTCTTCATTTTGACGGCGTACGCCAGTGGTTCTCAACCTGTGGGTTGCTGTGTGATTTCTGCTGTGCTGGGTGAGAGTCCTCCTCAGCCCTCTCCTAGCGCAGCAGTGTCAGTTCTCCCGTCACGCCTCCAGATGTCGCTGCAGCAGCCGCGTCATCCCTAAATTTTACCGTTGGGGGTCACCACAACTTGGCAAATAGAAAGGTTGAGAACCACTCCCTTAGGGCCCATTGTGTTGCAGCAACTTGCTGTGCCATGTGTTGCACCCAAGCACCATCTAAATCTAGGGCCTCTTTTCCCCTACACATGCCCATGTGTTGCACCCCAACAACACCAGGCATCCCAATGCACCCACACCACAAGGAACAGAACAAGAGATGCGGTGCACTGTGTCTTAAAAAAATGGTACATGTCCATTGGTATGGTATGTTTAAATGAATGGGCTGTCATAACACAACAGCACAACACAGCACTAAGATGCAAATGGGCCCGTACTGACTTTTCAGCAGCTGTTGGAAGAGACCGCATACAATGAAGAAAGAATATACATGTGGGGTGAATATGGGCTCATCCGAGGGTCTGAGCACTCGTTCCTGTACTAGAAGATCCCTCTATGTATGTAAATCCTACTTTATCGGTACGACAGGTTGTGCCATAGCAGTCGCTCCCTTATTTCAGAGCCAAAAATGACACAATGCGGTTTCAGGAGCTTGGAATCAAACACAATTATCTCCTTGGAGCATTAGCTGTACTTTAATTATCTGTCATGGATGAAAGGAACGTCCAGTACACAAGGTCCTACGTGTCATAGACTAGAATGACAATTTATGGTATACCGGTACAAAGAACATTGTTCTGGGCAGTAACCGTCAGCAATCACTTTCCATGTTCATTAGTGTATGTCAGGTTATTACAAGCTGCATTCCTATTGGTCGCTGTTGGCTACTTTGCATGTTGGGTTTCTCCTTATTAATGGGCTCTGGAGCTGAGTTCTGCATAACAAACGTTCTACAAGACATTCTCATCCTGATCACAGATATGTCAAGTCATCATTATTACCAGGCCTTAAAGTGTGTGCAAAGGCCAAACTTTATTTCAATTTTGGAAGGTCTGGGGAGGGGTTAGACCCTCGGTCAAGATGTTTATTGTCACCTGTGCCACCCCTCTATTTGTCCTGGTGACACTAAAACAGAAATTCCCAAATTTTAGGCTTTAACTTGAGTGAGAGTCATTTATTGGGATAGAATTGTCACCATTTTTTCAGATTTTTTTTTTTTAATAGAAAATAATAGACATTTCGACACAAAACACTTTTTTAAGTCTTTGGTGCGGGACACCTTTTGCTGCAATATGTGCTGGATAACCCTGTGGGGGCCGATGGGTTGGTGACTACAGCACAAGGCACTTTGTTGAGACTGTTTGGAGTACACTTAGGGTTAAAGGAGAACCCCAGGAATTTAAAAAACTTACCCTTGCACGGGGGCTATCCCTGTACTGGAAGGGTTAAATGCGTGTTTTGGTCTAGGGGGCTTAAAGGAGAATTATGAGGTGAGTGATTTTCACTCAGCCTCATAATCTGAGCCGACCTGTGACAATGAAACTGTCACAGGTCGGCTCAGTAGATCGGGAGGTGAGCGAACACATACCGTCACTCGCTCACTTCTCGATCTATCCGTGCAGAGAGCCGTACTCCGAGGGGAGGGTCTGGATTCCCCCCTCCGATCCTCCAGCGCTGACTGGCGGAACGGACGGGGGAGGGTACAGCTGGCTCTGCCTCTAGATAGGCAGAGCCAGCTGTCTCTCACGCAGCTGGGCGGATCCAGACAGCATTGTCGGGATTCGCTCCGGCTGCGGCGTCTCAGTATACCGCGAGTCGTAGCTCGCGGTATACTGAGCTTTGGGTGACGGGAAGACGCTAGTCTGTGTCCTCCCGTTACCCTAAGACCCCGTTCACATTGAGTGTTTTATCGTGCGGTAATTCCCGCGATATCGCGGCAATTTACCGCGCGATATCGCTCTCCAATGCTTCTCAATGGGGCAAAGGGTCCTACTGTCGCGAGTCGTGTGTCGTTACAGCAGGACCCTTTTTGGAGCGGATTTAGCCGCGATTCAAGCTTGCTCAATGCAAGCATTTGCGCGATATTGCGCAAAATGCAAATGCGATTTGCGAACCGCTCAATGTGAACGGGGCCTAAGGAGAACTATGGAGAAAAGCCCTGACCCCATAATTCTCCTTTATATAAAGCAGACATACTCACCTGATCCTCAGTCACGCCGGGCTGCTAGACCCAGCACCTCCCCTGTGCACCGGTGGTCTAGACCACTTTTCTCCCCTGAGCACCGGTGGTCTAAGGACCTATGACATCATCACGTTCTATGTCCATTGACTTGCATGGAGCATAGGGGGAGATAGGTCAGTGCCAGTCACGGCGGTACCGAGGATCAGGTGAGTGTATCTGCTTTATTTGAGCTCCCTAGACAAAATGAGCCCTTAACACTTGCAGCGCAGGGGTTGCCCCACTGCATGGGTAAGTTTTCTTTTTAATTATCCAATGGGGATACCTGTCCAAGAAAGAACTGTTTAAAATAGGAATTCTGCTTGCTTTGGGGACATTTCTTCTTATTTCCTGTTGCATCTCCAGGACAGGAAGCGAAGGGAGAACTCAGCAGCAGAACCTGACGGGGGTTTAACCCTGCCTCACATTATCCAAAACTAAAATATAAAGTTTGGGCTTTGCATTCACTTGGACATATCAAGAAACATTTTCACAGAATTATAATCTACAGCACATAGTATGATGTACACCAGACGCCGGATATTGGAATAAAGTCTGTCAGTTTTATTTCTATTTTATTATAATTAAACACGCAAATACTGATCCCAGACTGCTCCTTTTATATAACTATATTATATATAACTATAGTCCTTGTGGGTCACACTGTTACAAAGGTGCAATGGACACAGGTTACCCATAGAGATATACAAGGAGAGGTGTGCCCCATTCAGGTGGGGAGATAGCAAAGAATGCTAAAGAAGTGTCCTAGGGGGCAGAACTGTACATTGCATGCTAAAGAATAATGTTAATGGAATGACAGGGGGCAGTATGTACAGGAGAGGAGTGTGGAGGGTATGACAGGGGGCAGTATGTACAGGAGAGGAGTGTGGAGGGTATGACAGGGGGCAGTATGTACAGGAGAGGAGTGTGGAGGGTATGACAGGGGGCAGTATGTACAGGAGAGGAGTGTGTGAAGTGTAAAGGAGATAATGGGGGAAAAAAGGGGAGGAGAGAAATCTGCCAAAAATGACAATTCTTAATATACAGTATTTTTGTCTGGTCACAAAGTACTGTCATGTAATACCACATTATGGCCACTAGATGGAGCCGAGGAGCACGGGATAACAGTATATCCTCGTCTCCATCTAGTGGCCATAATATGGTATTACATAACTAAACATTGTAACTGGAAAATAAATAAATATTTAGAACAATTATTTTTGGCATTATTCACCCAAAATGAACGTTCGCAGATATGCACAGGGCAAAGGGCCCTGTGTATTTTTTTTAAATAGACCCTTATGGGGAGCACCTCTCGGCTCGGTCATTTACCTTTATAGCAATTGTATCAAAGAACACATCCCTGGCATCCCTTTAGACCTGCCTGCAAATGGTCAACCAATCAGAGGATTGCATAGGAAAAGTCTGCAGCACCGGTAAATACAGGGAAAAGCGGGCACATCTAAAGGGACCAACAGGAGACACCAAACTTCAAGCAGGTTATAAACAGGGACTGTGACATTGAGTACAGGAACAGTGGATGTGGCACTGGGGGACACGGGGCAGCAAAATGGGACAGTTATCACTATTGGACTCGAGTCAGTGGGGAAGTAGAGCGATATTCGGGGTGATGCACTGAATAAAAGTGACGGATTATCCGAAGGCAGTGGTGGCGAACCTTGGCACTCCAGCTGTTTTGGAACTACAAGTCCCATGAGGCATTGCAAGGCACTGACAGCCACTGACATAACTCCCAGAGGCAGATGCATGTTGGGATTTGTAGTTTTGGCACGGCTGGAGTGCCAAGGTTCGCCACCACTGTCCTAAGGGATCGGATGCCAAGGGGGTAAAGGGCGCATGGCACATACACATATGCTGGGCAATGACTGCTGGGAGGTGACACATATGTTGGTGACAGTCCCCTGAGGGGTAAGTGCACATGTGCTAGGTCTCGGCAGCTGGGGGATCATCCACATAGGCAGAAGAATGTTTGGGGTGGTGCCGTCCGTTCAATGATGTCAATTGGGATTTGTTTCCACATTGGGAGATTCCATTTTATTATTGAAGATCTCATTCAGCCGGAACAATGAACACAGAACCATTGCTTCCACAGACCCTGGGAGAGCAGCCGCTGTGATAGAACATGGACGTCCTCCGAGCTACACCCCTCAATGTGTCCTCAGAGCAAGAACACCACATTCCATGCCGCCAGCAACAATCCTTAGCCGCCAGCAATCCTTAGCAGAGTGTCCGCCGCTGTGAGGGAGGAAGAAGAAAGGGGGAGCTGTGCGAGATCTGTGAGGTGACCGGTTCCAGCCGGATCCCGCGCCTGCGCACTGCGCTCACACCATGGTGCAGAAGGATGGACCGAGCGGGGCCGCCGAGCAAGACAAGCAGGCCGGAGCCAGCCCCCCTCTGAATGCGGAGCTGCCCCCCAACACCGGAGAGGAGCCGGAGATCCCCCGGGCCAGGCGCTTCCTGTGCGGGGTGGTGGAGGGTCAGTGTCGCCTCCCCCCTATTGTATAATGTCCTCCCCTCCCCCACCATCTATTATTATAAAATAATATCCCCCACCTATCATCATCATTTATTATATATCTCCATTACCCATATATAATATATACTGTCTTCTGGAGAGGAAGTGGAACCCCCCTCCCTACCCCCCAGACACTTCCTGTGTGGGGTGGTGACGGGTCCCGTTACCATTATCCTTCTGTTATATCTATTATAGTGATGAAACTGCAAATCCCATCATGCATCTGCCTCCGGGAGTCACGCCCGTGGCTGTCAGTGCCTTGCAATGCCTGATGGGACTTGTAGTTCCGCAACAGTTGCAGGGCTGGAGTTTGCCCACCCCTGGCCCAGGCGGGACACAGGCAATTCAGAGACCACTGGTCTTGGGCCTAGACTGTAGCTGGCCCTTTAAGAAGTGTGTTACTCCCCCGCAGGTGTTTAAGCACGTCTCCTGTGAGGCCCCCGAACGCCCCGCAGGGGACCCGCACAAGACCTCTTAAAGGGCCGGTTACCATCTAGGCCTAAGACCGGTGGTCTCTGGATTGCCTGTGCCCCGTACTGAATCTGATTTTGACTGGAAAGTCCGGAATCCTCTGATTCTCACTACCTGTAGAGAAGGGCCAGGGGGGATGTGGATATATATTAATACATTTAAAGGAGATGTAAAGTCCCAGCATATCCTCTCCTGTTATAACATCAGCATTGTAATAGGAATCGCATAAAGGTTTCTGGGGCGGGAGGGGGGCGTGCACTATTTTTTTGCAATCGCACCACCCCGCCCCAGAATGTGGGAGGCTCGCTTTATGCCATCCAGTGCGTTCCAGGCACGAGCCGCGCTGGAACACACTGGATATGGTGTGAACCGCCCCTTAGGGAAGAGGAAGATAAGTGCTGGCGTGTGGAGGTGACTGACGGCGTTCTTTGGCTGGAGTGCATTGAAAAGCAGAAGAAGTTTGTTTAGTTCGGCCTTGGAACGCCTTCAGTTGTCAGTAAACAATGTATAAAGGACCCCACCAGAGACCTGTATGCGTACTATTCATTCACAAGGTATGAACCCAATTTTCAGCAATCGCTGTGTGCAATCATGCACGATCACGCGTGTCTTGGGATCGCCAATATCTGAACCTAGCACTATTCATTCACAAGGTATGAAACCAATCTTCAGCTGAGCTCATCCAGTGTGATAACCTGACGTCCTAAAATAAAGTGACACTAAACTCAGGAGCGAAATCTTACAAATCCATTATGGTGTGAACCGCCCCTTAGGGAAGAGGAAGATAAGTGCTGGCGTGTGGAGGTGACTGACGGCGTTCTTTGGCTGGAGTGCATTGAAAAGCAGAAGAAGTTTGTTTAGTTCGGCCTTGGAACGCCTTCAGTTGTCAGTAAACAATGTATAAAGGACCCCACCAGAGACCTGTATGCGTACTATTCATTCACAAGGTATGAACCCAATTTTCAGCAATCGCTGTGTGCAATCATGCACGATCACGCGTGTCTTGGGATCGCCAATATCTGAACCTAGCACTATTCATTCACAAGGTATGAAACCAATCTTCAGCTGAGCTCATCCAGTGTGATAACCTGACGTCCTAAAATAAAGTGACACTAAGGCCCCGTTCACATTGAGTGATTTATCGTGCGGTAATTCCCGCGGTATCGCGGCAATTTACCGCGCGATATCGCTCTCCAATGCTTCTCAATGGGGCAAAGGGTCCTGCTGTCGCGGGTCGTGCGTCGCTACAGCAGGACCCTTTTTGGAGCGGATTTAGCCGCGATTCAAGCTTGCTCAATGCAAGCATTTGCGCGATATCGCGCAAACAAACGCGCAATTTGAGAACCGCTCAATGTGAACGGGGCCTCAACTCACGAGCGAAATCTTACCAATCCATTCAAGTACCTCAACTATGAACAACAATGTATCTTATTTGTGTATCACTTGGCTGTAGATCCTCCAATCATCTCTGAATTGGTGCTGACACTGTCCTTCCTTCTGGAGGGGGCTACTTTTCTTCCCCATGGTCCCTGTGTGTGTTGTAAAGTAGTCACCGCTCCAAGCTCACTCCCGGGATGGACTACAATCTCAATACAAATACGTAAACTAAACATGAGATTGTAGTCCATCCCGGGAGTGAGCTTGGAGCGGTGACTACTTTACAACACACACAGGGACCATGGGGAAGAAAAGTAGCCCCCCTCCAGAAGGAAGGACAGTGTCAGCACCAATTCAGAGATGATTGGAGGATCTACAGCCGAGTGACACACAAATAAGATACTTTGTTGTTCATAGTTGAGGTACTTGAATGGATTTGTAAGATTTCGCTCCTGAGTTTAGTGTCACTTTATTTTAGGACGTCAGGTTATCACACTGGATGAGCTCAGCTGAAGATTGGTTTCATACCTTGTGAATGAATAGTGCTAGGTTCAGATATTGGCGATCCCAAGACACGCGTGATCGTGCATGATTGCACACAGCGATTGCCACGCATCCCCATTGATTTCAAAGGGAGTTATATTCGCATGGCAATCACTGAAAAAAAGTACAAGTAGCTAATTTTGCAACACGCACCGCGTGGTCTTTTGAACCGCAATTGCACAGGCGGTATTGTGGCCGGAAGCCGCGTGATCTGTCTGGCGCGACTGGGGTGACAGTAGAAAAAATTGGCACCGCCAGTGCGATCGGCAGTGGTGTGCTATTCCATGGCCACACGGTTTCATGCACGATTGCCACGTGGTCACGGATCGCCCTAAGGAGGAACTTCACCCTTATCTTCAAAATAACAACAAAGGCACCTTTTATAAATGTTTAGTAATGACGATCTACACACACATACTTCTAGATAATTGCCACTTTGTATTCTTTGCATATCTTTATATTTCTTTTCCTCCCCAGTCTTCTGACAGTGGCCATGTTTACTAAGGACAGATTACCAGCTCTCCTATTACTTCCTGGAACTCTGGCACATGTGACTAGACATGTGACCATGCACATCATCTCAGGGGAGGAAAATGCCTTTCCCTTAGATCTCCTGAGATTTCCCAGCAATGCTCTGGTGATGTAACCTTCCCAGGATGCAATGCTTGGGCACATTATATCATGTGTGCCATAGTGGACCAGGAAGTAGATAAACTTTATTTGTAAGTAAATGAATAACATGTTTGTTTATCTAATGTGAGAGCAGAGCTGTACGCTGATGTGAGTTTTAGTCAAAGGGTGTAAAGGGCCGGTTCACACCCAAAGAGTGCTTTCCAGCTCATTCGGCCTCTGGAAGGCAACCAGGCCGGCTCCCTGCGTTCAGGAGGGGGGGTGGCTGTGCATTGAAGTCAATGGCACCGCAGCCATGCCCCCCTGCCCGCACCCGAACGCTTGGCACATTAGTGCCTGCGTTCTGGTCCAGTGCAAAAATGTTGCATGGACTATTTTTGCAGATAGCACTGGACTGGAACGCAGGCATTAATGTGCCACGCATTTGAGTCCCTCTCCCACCCCTCAACGCACGGAGCCTGCTGGGGTGCGTTGCAGAGGCCAAACGCTCTGGAACGCAGTCTTTGTGGTGTGAACCGGCCCTAAGTGTTTGCCATTTGCATTGGTTGGTTCATTGACTGATTGTGACCTGAGGGATTGATCTGAAACGGATTCACATTCACATGCAGTGTTTTTTTTTCTCCTGATCAGTTCATTATAAAATGTTTGGTCGTCCCCTTTTGGGCTGAGGATTTTTCTTTCTTTCGTCCAGACGTACTGTGGATGGATTTGTATGTTTCTTATAGGCGTGGTTATAGAATGTAAACGGATTTCTTGGGCCCATCTGAATCTGGCAGCCGCTCCTCCTCATTCCTCTTGAGTTGGTGCAGATGTTGTAGCGAACTGAAATAACCTTTTATATGGTTTGTTTTGTCTGCGTGAAGATTTACAGGTCTGTTCACAAAAGGGTGAAGAGTTTGGAGAAGGCCGGAGAAGTAACCAATTAGGCCAAAATAGCTGATTATGAAAAATTCTCCAATTCGGCTCACTTTCCAGTTCAGTGATGTTGTCCTAGATTGCTCACTTCTCCGGCCTCCTCCAAACTCTTCATCCTTTTGTGAATAACCCTGTAGGTGTTTACACTGACATGGTGGCCAACCCCCCCCAATGACTGACTGAAATCTGATAGAAGGCGCTTACATGTGTCAAATGTTTTGTTTGTTCCCAGTCATGTTCAGCATGTTTCATTATAATAATTCTCGGTTAATTTTGCCTTTTGAAGGTCTTTGTTTAGGCACTTCCTGCCCGCAGTTCCAGTGCATTCCAGACTAGACAAAATGAGACCTGCAGTATTTTTTTGGTCTGGTCTGGACTGTGTTGGGGTGAACAGAGGCCAGAAATAGCATAGGGATGCATTAGGATGCATTTTGGGTCCGGAAACAATCTGGTCAAGAATGGAGATGATCTGAATGTGGTGTGAATAGGCCCTAGGGGAACAGCACTCTGTCCCTGTCTCTGAAATGTGTTCCTGCGTTGTCACCCAGTCACATAAGCTACGATGAAGGTGACAATTTAAATACTAAGGTCTGAGGCTATGTTCACACGATGTCCGGAGTAGATCTGCAAACAGTGCAGTGCATTTGTGCCGCGTTCTGGTGCGGGTTTTTTTTAGCTTAAATGGACTTTTAGGTACAGTCCAATGCGTTTGCATGCATTTTTTGATGCATTCCAGACCAGAGAAAATGAGAGAAGCAGTATTTTTTTTTTTTTGGTCTAGACCGGAACGGACTGCGCTGGTGTGAACATAGCCCAGAAATACCATTGGGATGCCTTTTTTGTTCCGGGAACAAACTGTTCTGGTCTGGACATGGCGTGAACAATCCCTGAATCTGAGCTGCTCCGTACCCGAAGGTGACATGGGGTCACCCGCCCAATTAGCTCCGGGCAGGGGAATTCCCCGCCCCGCGGCTACACATAAACAAAGGGGCATGATGCATGTGATGACACATGGCCATATAAGG